TCAGCAAAATAATCTAAAATATCCACAAAGTTCAAAATAATACAAGTGCTGCCATCTATCCATCATCTGCGTAAAACGCAAATATGTTTTAATCATTCACCAGTACTGCCATCTAGAACCTGATGGATTTATTTTTCAAAGTATGATTTTAATTATTTCGCATTTGACAGTCATTTGTATTTTCATTCACAGAAATCATATTTATCTCACTTTTAGCAAATGGATATATTTCTGTCTTTCTCTAACCTCTGATTCTGAAATAATAATTTTTTGGCTTAATGACCTAATTAATTAACAGTTTTTTATTTTTGACATAACCTTAATTTAAATTATTATAATTTGTAAACAATTAAAATAATTCTAGTGGATTTTTATCTATTCTCTTTCATTCCACGCGGTTTTTCATTGTGTTTTCATTGTACAGTGAATATGATCTTTTAGGTGTACTCGTCTGATTGGTTGATCTGGTTAAAATGCAGTTAAGTATAAAAAACACAGAATCGTTTTCCTGTGGGCTTTGGTTTCTAAAACGATCTCTTTCCAAAACAGAAGTCTGGCAGGCAAGTCCTCTTTATTTTGAATAATTTTTGCTCCTAATTTTTGGATTCTCCCTTATAGATTTTTCAATATATTTTGCTATCAATGCATATTATCATATCATTATTAAGTTTTTACCTGATAAATCTTATCTGTTCTTGAAATATAAATATTATATTTTAATTTTTTTATCTTATTATTGGTTTCCATTTTGTGTGAGTGTCGATTGGTAGTGCCACGTTTATCTGAGGTAAGTCAATTCAGATTTTTGGATTTTAAAAAAGATACTGCTGCTCTGGTTTTCAGAATCAATTGTTAGTGTGGGAATATTGGACCATTTGGTCTAAATAGAGTCGGTGAAAACCAAATTTTTATGTACATCCCTATTAACTCTTTATTGAATCCAGGCAGAGGCCTGAATAGCCATTTTTTGTTTGACTGCCTCAATTATTATCTCGACCAAAAGGTGTAATTTTTTAATAGGACTCCAGACAGGTCAAAAATTCAGAAAAAAGTTTAAATTTGAATATCTCAAGAATTTTGACATATTCTGGATTTGATTAATTTCAACACCAGGTTTATTTTGTAGTATCTATAGTAGCTACCTGCTACCTCAATTTGGAAGGAAAATTTTGTGGATTTGGGGAAGAATATAAACATTTAATTTCTTATTGTTTTACCTACATTATTTTGTTCATATTTTTGCCTGCCAGAGCTGCTGTCAGGAAAGCACCATTTCGCTCAATCATAACGAGCATTTTAATTTAATTTTGTTATTATTTTAATTTTATTATCTTACCATTATTCTTAATTATTTAATTGTTTTATATTAAAATATATTTTTTTTTTTTTCAACTTGCAATAGCTATTCATACCTGATTCTGTTGGAAGGGAGTGTCTGTACAACAATCGTTTTATATTAAATTTCAATTTCAACTTCCTTTGCAAGACACTGACTTTTTGACAGAATTCAGGGATTTAATATTCCAAATATTGGTGAACCTGATACTGCCTTATTCTTTTCTGGGTACCTACTCGACATAAAGATCACTGTTTGGAGTCTGGATCAGCTGGAGTGACGTCACCCCAGCAATCTATCCTCTTCCTGGATACAGAAAACAACACGAAGAGCTCCAGTTCACGAAAGTGAAACCCCAACACCCATTGAAGAGCTCCGGATTGGAAAGGTATATGGTGTCAGATTCACCGGAAAAACCAAGCTGTCAGCACTAAAATTTTACAGTAACATTTATATATTGTGCATGAAACTATTTGCCAAAAAGGAAAATTATGCAAAAAATATTTGGATAGTTTAATCCATTTAAATTTATAGGTCGAGTGGTATACGGCTAGATTATTTCCTGAATAATTAGGACTTAATTATTGGCGTCAATCCTATCCAAAGAGTTCTATTTATTATAAAATGTCAGAATATTTCTATCAAAATTCTGTCAAAAAAGGTAAACAAAAATTTAATCGCTGATAAACAAGGTCTTGTGAAATAATCACTTATTTAAACAAAATTCATTCAAAAAATGACGCTGTCTGATAGGTCTATTTTATAATGAATGAAATAATCAGTTTAATTTGTAACAACTTCTGATTCTGAAATAATTATTTTTAACTTGATGACTTAATTAATTAGTGGTTTTGTGTTTCTAACATAACCTTAAATTTAGATCATTATAATTTCTAAACAATAAGAATGATCCTAGTGTGTTTTCATCTATTCCCATTTAATCAGCGTGGTGTTTCATTAATGAAGTGAACACGGTCTTTTATGTTTGTTGAATATTGTCTTCTGATTGTTTCCATGGTTATTACGCAGTTAAGTAAAAAAAAAGACTGGTTTTTTTCAAGGGATTTGGTTCTAAAAAGGCCTATTCTTTTGCAGACCGTTGATCAGGCAGTCGATTTTCACTTTGTAATTTTTTTTTTTCCTCTTCAGATTCTAGATTTTCCCTTAATATTTTTCGTTTTATTTCACCATCACTTTGAAATATAAATGTTATATATGTATATATTTTTTTTTATCTATTGAGAACCTCCATTTTGTTTGGTACCACATTTTTCTGAGGAAAGTCGATCCAGAGTTTTGGCAAATAAATAGGTATTGCTGCTTTGGTTTTCGGAATCAATTGTAAGTGTGAAATTATTGGTTACTATTATTATTGATCATTTGCTCTAAATAGAGTCGGTGTCAACCAAATTTGTGTGTCCATCCCTATTAAATCTTTACTGAATCCAGGCAGAAACCTATCTGGCCAATTATTGTTCGACTCCCTCATTATCTTCTCGAATAAGGAGAGTGCTGAAAGGGTGAAATTTTAAAATAGAAATCCGGATAGGTTGAAATTCATTTGAAAAGTTTTAATTAAAACATCTTAGGAATTTTGACAGTTCCTTGGATTTAATTTATTTCACTCGCAGCTTTATCTTGTAGTACCAATAGATACTGATAGATTTTCGCCCGGTACCATAACATGGACGGGTTAATCTTTTCCTGCAATAGGGGTTTCGCCCGAAACCTTCGACGGGTTATCTCTATTGCTCCTTAAACTTCGCCCGGAACCTTGGATGGGTAGTTCTGTATGAAAGATTTTCCTAGAACAAGTATTTCTCTCCAAAGCTTATATAGTATCTCTAATCCGTCAAATGCAAGATTCGAGAACTGACGCTTATGTAGTTTCGGGTGGTATCCGTTTCATTCATCACTTATTTAATTGCCTCTCTCTTACGCATCTCCGTTTATTCTTCCACAGCGTCAATTAAGGGTTTTCCTGTAAATATTTTCCAGTAATAGAGAGTGTTATATTTTGTTAAATTTATCTACCGTTGTCTATTTCTTTTCCCCAAACCAAGGTTTTCAGAAAATTTTACAGAGCAAGCATCTGTTTTTCCACTGTAACAAGCTACCTGGTGCACGTGAGCCCTCAACCACTTTAATCCTGAGGGTGGCGCTCGGGGCAAACCGTTAGATAAACCGACTTACACTGAACCCGCGCCGATTACGCAACAAAAGCGCTTCACAATACCAACATTCACAGATAGCTGCGAAACATTGTCCACCTACAGAAGACTAACAACTTCGCTGGACAGGTCAGCTCGTCCCGTCCGCATGTCCGAAACACGCATTCCACGACAAATTCTCTTCAGTCAACTGAAAGAGGGAAAACGAGATCATGCAGGTCAGCAAAAATGCTACAAACATGTTCTAACCTCTCCAAAAAACGATGGGACGATACGATTGGCTGCAACTTATTCAAGGAACTGCTAAGCTATCCAGATAAAGCTGCAGCGAGCCAAAAGCTGTCGTTGACCAGGAAAAAGCTACGCCTGATAACGGGCATCTTGACTGGCCACTGACAGTCAAACAAACATTTCTTTAGGTTGCATCTCAGTACCACACCCTTATGTAGGGCTTGTAATCTAGAGGACGAGACGATAGAGCACATTCTCTGTGACTGCACTGCCCTTTCGCCAATACGCAGAGCCAGATATGACCAATCGTACTCATGACTAGAAGAGATCAGAGGCCCCGCCCTCGGCGTCATCATCGCCTACGTTGAATTGCTAGGATGGATGACGAGCAAAGGATGACGTCTTCTCTTGTGGAGGCGCACAATGGGCCTGTGGTGGCCGAAGTGCTGTGGCATACCACCATCCCAAACTTACAGTTACATATATAGCCATCACGCACAATCGACGACATTAAGAATACAATAGGAGGTAATCATACTCGGTAGCGAGTGATCACCTAGGCTGATGAAATATGAACTATTATAATTATTTTTTGACAACAGGCTGTCAAGCAAAATTAGGGGTCCGTTCGTTCGTTCACGCTTCCTAGTCCATACTCTACACTTCAGTTTTGAAGGCTTTTTGTGTCTCATGGTATGGACTCTACTCCATCCTATCCATACTTGTAGACTAGATGGTTGGCGACAGTGCGAGCGACCTATCGTCCCATACTACTGAAGTCAACCATTCAATGTCTATCCCGACACCACATTACTTGCGTCCTCTATCAACAAGTACCTACCAACGCGCCGGTTGAAAAAAATGAAGGCTAGTTTTTATCCTATTATTCCGGAACATCAACATCCGCAATTAGTGTTTTTTTTTTCAGTCTTTTTCCAAATATTTAAATCCGTTCCGCACTTAAAATTTCCTCTCCTACCATAAAATCCCGACAAAACCTCTGAAGCGATTTTAAAAATCCTTTTATGTGGGTGCGGCGCAATTAAAATTTCTGAGATACATTTTCAGCTTTCCTGCTTTAATGGTATTATGCAGATTTTAACGGGAAATGCGAAAAAGACGCTAGAAATGTTTTTGTTTTCGTGCGTTGCTGATATTCAAAATACGCTTTTCAAATGAAGTTCAAGTTAGGTATTGTTGCTGTTCAATACTATAAATAGGTAGGTAAATCAAAACATATTTTATAGATAAAATTTACTTACTGCTTCTGTGTGTATCGGATGCACAGCAAATAGCATTGCTGCTATAAAACTGGCTAGGTCTGGTAGAAACATACAGCACATCCTAGAAATAAATAATGCAATTTAATAACAGAAAATAAATTGATATTAAGCAAAACAAACAGAAAACATCAGACAAAAATTTTTCGTACACCAAGCCGGATATTAATTTTTTTGGCTTAAGGAAACGCCGGAATTATTTCTGTTGGTGAAAACGGCAATATTCAGGGGCGCCTTAAAGAGTAAGGATATAAAAAGAAAATTACTGAGCGCATTACCTCTGCCAAAAATATAATGTTGGTGCCGTATATCTTTTTATACACAAAATTGCGACAGTGAAAAATTCCGTCCCCGAGCTTCAAGATGTTGCTTCTACGCTGTGAGGGCTAAGCGCATTAAAAGTATCTTTATTTAATATAATATAGAAGAGAGAATGTCTTGTAATGACATTTTAATGCGTTTATTATATTCCTCTTTCTGAGTATCTTTCGGTAGGGAGAAATGTCGTAGAAAATAAGGAATGTTATTTGTTTGGTAATGGTGTTGCTTTATTTGATGCCAAAATACTCAGCAATGGGTTAAAACTTATTTTGAATTTAATTCTTCGTCAAAAATTTGTTGACTCTAACGAAAATAATTGTACAGAAGAGCCAGCTTGGCACGGTTTAATCAAATTATTCAATACAGATGGATACATTTTAATTCATCAGCATTATTTGACCATATTAATGAAGTGAAATATTTTCGGTAACGTGTAATAAATTTTGGTCTGTATATTGTATTTATAGAATCGCAATTCGATGTGAAGCCTAAATACTATTCGCAATAATTTAAATTCCCTTGCTACAAATTATTGGAATTGGATTGAGGGCATGTGGTGAGGTTTGTCAGCCATGTACATATTGTAATAACTTGTATAAAAATATAATAGGGTTATGAATGCAATAGGATAAAATTATGCACTTTTGTGTTTACATAAAGGCTTGATATTCACCAAGTCCCATTATAGTTTTTCTCGAGCAACATTGAAGCGCCTCATTAATTTTTATTAAATAACGAGCTATTCCTTAAAATATCAACACTGGAGGCACGGAGCTCTTAATGCTCTCTCGAAACTTGACTCCAATTTTTTTATTTTATTTTTTCGTCTTTATAGTCTATGCTTTATTATTAATTAAGGCCAAAGCTTCCTTAAAAATAATTAATTGAGACCTAAGCCCTTTTTAACTTAGGAACGTACTCTCGACAAAGATTAATTACACTTGGTAAAAAAGTGCTGAATTTGCATGAAATGTGACAACGCCATTTTGGTCATTAGCTTGCCTTAAGGATCTACAAAATTAAATATTTCAAATCTAGTTATTCCAATTTAATTCTAGATGCAACAAGAATAATTAGATAACATCGCAACCAAGCGAAGTTTTACATGGATATAAATGCGGTGAAGAAGATTAGAGCTGCACTAATAACTTAACACTTTCGTGCATGTTATCAGAGAGGCAGTTATGTGAAAACGGTGCCATGTAGTCCAGAATGAACCTGCGGTTTAAGAGCGGAGCTATTTGCCAAAGCTTTGTTATTGCAGTAATTTCCTAAAGGTTTCTGGCAAATCACTGTGAGTATTTGAATTTCTATCGTAATATTTTATGATGCATCTTAATAATTATTAATGCTATAAAATATTCTGCCACGCTTTTTCTTTGTTAAACAATTTAAAGTGAGAATAAATAAATAATCAAGACTGCAGGACTGAAGGTCAAAGTACGTGCAAATTAAGCCCTCGCTCAGAATTAAACAATTCGGATGGAAGGGGTGGGTTATGTTTTGGGCGCCACCGACTCAGGTCAGATGACTCGGACTCTCCAGGATTTTATCTGGCTCCAGATCCTTACAACTTGATCGAATTATTAAAATAATAAATAAAAAATAATAATAATAAGTATTGGGCTGAGTGCATAAAACCTGCTCTACCTTGTTCCGAGCGCAGGAAATACAAGATCTTACATAACTGCAGTCATCAGCTTATATTTCTGGCCAGTAGTAATTCTGGAGAATGCTAGTCTTGTAAACACCTACATGACCCGAGGTTGGAACGTCATGACAACGCTGAAGAATACTTTTTCGCTGGTCTTTAGGGACTACAACTTTCCAAGATAATTTAGGAATGGAATATTTCACAAATTTATAAAGATTGCCATTTTGAGTACGTCATAAAGGAAACTTCAGGGGTTTATCTTCGACCTTTTGAAGCATTTCCAAAAACCATTTGTCACTTGTTGAGGTAGGAGTGTGAGTTGGAGGAGTAAAATTGAAAACTGAATCGACAGCTATAGGTACCGCTCGAGAAAGAAAACCTGGAACTATATGGTCTTTGCCTTTCCGGTGAATAAGTTCGAAATCGAACTGTTGGAGACGTAATTGCCAGGGCGCAAGATGACCTTGTGGATTTTTTAAACGATGAAGCCATGCGTACAAGGATGCGTACTCAGTGATAACTTTAAAATGGATGTGATCTAAATAGTGACGCAACTTCTCAACATCTCAAATGACAGCAAGACATTCCTTCTCTGACAGTTAGTTTCATCCCTTGCTTGGTTGAAGACCTTGACAGATAGTATACAACCTTTCCACCCTCCTCGTGTTGTTGAGTTGAAACAGCTCCCAGTCCATAATTTGAGGCATCGGTTTGTTAATAAAACATCCTGTCGAAATCAGGTGCAGTTGGAATTGGAACAGTGACTGAACATTCTTTGAGGAATGTGAAAGATTTATGGCAATCTGGATGCCAAGTAACTTTAATTTTCTTTTTAGTTAAATTAAGAATGGCCAATGGGTGCTAACGCCGAAGAAAATTCAGGGACAAAAGGCCGATATCAGGAAGCAGTTCCCACAAATCCGCGAACTTCATTGATATTTTTTGGTGGAAGAATGTTAACAATAGTCCGAGCAATAGCCTCAACCTTTTCTGGATCAGGGCGTAATCCTTTCTTATCAACCAGATAGCCTAAGTTCTTTAATCCTGGCTTGCAAAAGTGACATTTTTTCAGCGAGATAATCAGTCCAGCCTGATGCTAGTGGTCAAATACAACCTCCAAAAGTCGCAAATGCTCTGAAAAGGGGTTAGAAATTATCACCACATCATCAATGTAGCACATGACGTTTAGTTCGAGGTCTGGACCAAGGATAGTGTCAATGATTCAAGCTGCAGGAGCATTAGATAAGCCGAATGGCATCCGACAGAATTGGAAGAGTCCTCTGCCAGGCACAGCAAAGGCAGTGTACTCTTTGGAAGATGTACTCAAAGGAACTTGCCAAAATGCTGACTTAATATCGATGGAACTAATATCGAGTCTTCCTTAACCGATCCAAAATGGTGGACATATATGGAAGAGGATATGCGTCTTTTTTTGTATATATAATAACCTGCCTAAAATCTATGCAAAATCTGAGGGATCCTTCCTTTTTCCGAGCAAGGCACACAGGACTAGACCAAGGACTACTAGAGCGCGCAATGACTCCCAACATCAACATTTCCTTAACTTCGTCATCTAAGAACTTTTGAAAGGAGAGACAGGGTAACACCTTTATTTTATGGGTGTTGTACCAGGGTCAATAATAATTTCATGTTCAGCTACCTTGCAGCAACCGAGTACACTGCTTATCTCTGCAATTTTCTGCTCTACAAGGGTGTCTAAACCAGATCGTTCTGACGGAGTCAAATTGTCTTTATCTTGGATAGACAAAATATCAGTCTCACCAGCACACTCAGAAAAATGCCAAACATCTTGTCTAAGATCTGGGATAATTTTCATGGTTTCCCAGAGGCCTATTCCAAGAGTGATTTTATGTGAAAGTTCAGGAAGTACGATGACATCAATAATGTGAGTTTTGTCCATTAAGGTTATGGGTGTTTGAATATAATCTATGCTTTTGCAAGTTTGGCCATTAGCCACAGTGCAAGAATTTTGTTGTTTTACCAACTTCAAACCTAAGCTCAAAGAGTGTCATATCCAGGCAACCCAACGTACGACTAGCACCTTGAGTTAACTAGACCTAACATAGGATATCCCAATATTTCAGTTTCAAGGTATGGTCGCTGATCATCTTGCGCATGTAATACAATTTCCCCTGGGATCGTTTCCCAAGTTATCACATTTAGGACAATTCCCAACTCTGACGTTAGGGACATCGATAGCAATGGGTTTTCCTAGGATAAAGACAATCTCTATTTAAATGGCCGGATTTCTGGCAATTCCACAAATCAAATTGGGTGAGTTATTTTGTGGTCTTGACCCTTGAAGACCATTGTGGGATAAATCTGCTCTGTCAATGCCAAAGGAATCTGCATCGTTGTTCAAGACAGAATTCGTCAAATGAAAATTAGGTTGGTTGACCGTGACAATAGCAAAATCGGGCTCTACAAACTGTTGAAGTTTTCTGGAAGGTGGAACATAATGCTCAACTATATATTTTTCTGTCTCTACCTTAAGACATTCACGCTCTAGTTCTTCAAGTAAGTTAACACTGGGAGTTGTGTAAAAAGGGAATAAATTCCTAGACAAAATATCGAATTGGGTTTCAGGGGTCAATCCATTGTAACGTCTAAACAAGGCCTGCATACAAGACAGGTCGTCTACAATGCTTTCTGAGGTATCTTGGATTCGCTATAAAATCTCTCAAAAGTCTAGCACGGTAATCAGATGGTTCAAAGTACAGACGAAGCAACTCACACAAGGTTTTCCAAGTATCAAATCTGTCACGGTTTGCCCAATACCAATCCAAGGCTTCACCTGTAAACAGATCTATGGCACTATCGAAAAGTTGGTTTTCTGTGACATGACGGCATTTACTTAGTTCAGCAACTCTTTCTAAGAAATTATGTACAGACAATTTAGAGTCACCAGAAAATTTGAGGTTCCATTTCTCTAGATTTGGAGGTTTAGAACTATTCGACGCAATTGGTGCTTATGGAGTGAATCGATGGTTGGTGGAGTTATATACTGGAGAAGATACATGAAATTCATCAGCAGCGAGCTGTCGACTAAGTTTGGGATCAGCTCTAAC